TGACTAATAGTATTAGGCAAAAACATATTTTAAACAGCTTCCCATCAGGGCAATATTTGACTCAAAAAGAAAGATTAATAACTCAGCCAATCGTCTCCATTGGTAGTAAAGTTAGTAGCCCAAACGGAGAGAGAGGGAAGGTTGGATGACAAGCTGAAGGGGGTCAGGATGACTTCAAAGGCTGCTGTTCCTCTGCTGCAGTTTCAGCACCATCACTCCTAAGAAAGTTTAACACAAAGTGGGTGAGCGTGTGCTCGAGTGTGAGTTTTACTTTCCGCACTGCAGGGTTCTCGGATCATTTGCATAAGTTGTTTTAACAGTACTGGCTTCAAAGGCTTCACAGGCTGAAGTGCACCATTCAGAAAAACCACATCGGGGAAATAAAGCAGGAGAAAGGACGGAAGTTCAGAGGTATAACCAACCTGGCTAGCAGTGCCATGGGCTGGAGTGAGGTGGAAGATTCCTTAAAAGAAAAACAGATTTTATCACCTATATTAGAATTGGAGGTTTACAGTTAGACCCAGAAATGATGTGGCAAATTTGCATGAAAAACTTTTGCATTGACCATAATCGCTAGTTTTCTCCTAAAATCTGTTAATTTATTTTTCCTTTTTATACTTTGCAACCATCTGGTAAAGCTCTTGGGACTTCGGTGCAAAGGAAGGACAAAAAAATGAATCCATGGCGGCTCCATTTCATAAAGAAAACAACACTCGGAGGCATATCTTCAAGCTTCTGTTTCCTACTGCCCCCCTTTCAAAAGACTCAAGATATTTGTAAGCCTTTTTGTTTGTGAAAAGTAATACTTGTTTCTTTGGCTGTTCAGTTGTTTTAACATTTCTGACCAATAATGACATTGCAACAGGGTCGGACTGGGAACGATTTTCGGCTCTGGCATTTTTCCATTTACCTCCCAACCCCACCCCCCTGTAACAAAAGAAATAGAAGCACAGTCAAACGCGTTTGACATCGTGGATTAACCGATCTATCTTCAAGCATCACATGACAACAATCACCGAGACTTCTATAATGCGGTTTTACTGGCTTTGGTTATTAACACAGACGTGACAGTGACTAGGGCTGGGTAAAGAAAAAAAGATTTAATCGATTTTGGATCGATTCCTTTACATTTTTGTAAATCAATGTTTAGGGAATGAGATCGATTAGTTTTATAGTGACGCATGTGACACCGCTCAGCAAGCTGTCCCAACTGAAGTCTGATGTCTGGAACCATTTTGGATTTAAAACGCCTAAAGATAATATGCTGGATATACCACATTAAGGTGACTTCCCTCTACACTTATGATGAGTGGCGTCTCGCATCTCGTGCAACAGACCACCAAGATGACTTCAAGCCAGACAGCTGCAAATATAGCCAATAGGTTGACTGGACTAGGAAACACCCTGTAGTTGTTACAGACAACGCTGCAGATATGGTTCGTGCAGCGGAGATAATGCAGCTCATGCATGTCTGCTGTATCACCTCTGCTTGCTCGAGTGAGGCTTCACTTTTTCACTTTTCACAAACAAGTTTGCACTTTTGAGACAGCTTTGTATACATCTCAATTTGAGACAAATTCATTTATAGTTTTAAAAAGGGTTAAAATACAAGATTGCTAATTTTGTTTGATGTTAAGATTATAATTTAAGTTTAAAAACTCTAATATTAAAGGCATAGAATATAGAAATGCAATTTGAAATGCATATTTTTGGGCTTCCTGCATGCTGTAATTGTATACATGTTTTTTTTTGTTTGCTTTTACGTACTGTACGTACAGTAAGGACTGAGGGGAAAACAGATATGCTGGAAGCAACACAGTTTTTGACCGAGTTTATTTTATACGAATGTGGATGTTCTCTTATTTTTGTTTTCTTTTAATAAACATCACAAGTTGAAGAACATGATCTGGAATTGCTCGCGTTTCAATACTAGTTGCTAGACTGTTTTTCCATGTGGTACAGAAGAAACTAAAGTAGCTGGAGTGCCGCTACAGTCTGATTTACAAGTTTGCACTTGTTGTTTAATATGAGAGGAAAAAATAAACAGTTGAACCATTTCCATTATTGTAAAAATAGATAGAATCGAAATGAATCGATTTAGAACTGTATGAATACAAATTTAATTGATTCAGGACTTTGGCCAAAATACCCAGCCCTAACTGTGACTGCTGCTGCGTAACGTCCACACTTGCATGAAGCCAGACAGACAAACACTCACACATTCTAGGTCTACAACGTAAGGCAGAATGTCGGAAAAACACCAACATAAAACAATACAATAT